GAGTAAAGGAGGCAGAATGCCTGTTTCCCCTCCTCCCTTCCCATCCCAGCTCTAGGGGCTAGCTAGCACTGAATGCTATTTTAACAGTACATTTAATAGTGCATTAGCATGCACTGAATGCTACTTTTCTCAGACCCCAGGCAGGAAGAATTTAAAGGCAGAAGAGTTGTCGAAATATCAAACTTAATTGCTTCAGTGGCTCAGGAGTTGCTGGGGTGGGTGGTTTGGGTTGTTGGGTAGACCAGACGTCCCAGGACTGGGGAAGGCAAAGAGGATCCGGGATCCTGAGTGGACCCCTGAGGGGCGTGAGGTTGAGGGGGCAGGAAAGGGCCATCCTACCCTTCCCTGCCTGGAGATTCTTCTTTTTACAGGCATCTCTGGGCATTTGACTTCCCCAGGTTCTTTGTTCCTCGTCTCTGAGGGACATTTATTGAACATCAAAAGTGTTCCATGCTCTCTCTGCAAATTCTGAGATGTGCAGGTCTTCATAGATATAAATCACTCTTTCTGTCTCTATGCTTCTCCTCCATGTCTCAGTTCCTCTCTCAGTGCCCAGATTCAGGAACCAAGGACTCCCTCCCCTACCCCTTTCCAGGTTCCCTATGGAGAGGTGGCTGTTGCCATGGTAACAATGGTACTGACCTCGGGCCTGGGCTGCCCTTCTCTAGCTCCAATCCTTCCCCAGCCCTGCCAGGGAGAACACACCATCCCTTCAACACCTCTGCTGGGGATAGGAGAGGTCATTCAATTAAGAGGTCAAGCAGTTCCTGGCCTGCAGAGGTCAAAGAGGCAAAAGGGCTTGTTCAGGGTTGTACACTGACATGATCAAATTAATAATAGCTAACCCTCTGATTGAGAACTTCCTGTGTGCTAGGTACTTCTATAAGTACTTCACAGGTATTAACTAATTTAATCCTTACAATACCTCATGAAGAAAGTACATCATCCCCTATTTACAGATGAAGAAAGAGGAACTAAAAATGGTTGCCTTAAGTCCCACAGCTGGGATTCTGGAGTGTTAGAACCTTTACCCAAGGCTATTCTGTGGCCAGTGGCCAGTCCCTTTCTTAGGTGGGGGATTCAGAGAACCATCTCCTCTTCTTCCTCCTCTCCCACCAGTCCTTCCTCCTCCCCAATTGTCGAACTTCTGTCTGCATCCAGGCTTATGATTGCAAACAATCCAATCAGCAAGAGGCCTGTACAAGGAGTTGCCCAACCAGGAGCAGGAAGTTTGGAAAGCAGGGACCAATCAGAATGACTCTGAAAGGGCAGCCCAGTGCTCAGTAGGTTTGGCCAGAGGGATTATAGAAAGGCCAATCAGAGAAGCCGGAACAGAATACACTATCCAATGAAGAGTCAGCACATTGGGGTGTGGCTTTGGGTTTGGGATCACTCCTTCTAGGACAGTACAAACTAGGGACTGCCAACCCCCTTTCCACCAACCTTCCCTCTAGGGTCCCACAGATCCAGGCTCCCTAATTTTTGAGTCCTGGCCTTAGGCATTCCTGAGCACTTCTCCCAGCTCATCTTAAGTCGGAGAAGTGGAGACTGCATTTTAGGCAAAGCTGAGAGTGGAGCTCTTGACTTGAGGGGCTAGTGTCTAGGCGGGGAAACTAGCTACATATGGGGTGGAGCCTAAGGTAGAGGGGTGGGGCTTGGGCTGAGAAGAGGGGCTCAGACTTGTGGCAGGGGCACAGCTAAAGAAGTCTGAATACCTATTGTATATTTTAAGGTGGTGTCTAAGGTATGGGGCTTTGGCTTTGGGGTGGGACCTAGAATTTAGGGGCTTTGTTAAGGTCAGTTAAGTGGTTTTTGCTTTGGGTTGAAGCCTTAGAGACAGGGTTGGGGAGGTTGGGGTAGGGAATGAGCATTGAGGGGAAACTTAAATTGTGAAAAAATAAGATTGGTCGAGGGGAGAAATTAGGACCCTTGGGAAATAATCACACTATCTACTTCCACTTGTTGCCCTCTTTTCTAGGCCAACTCACACTCCCTGACTTTGTGGGGCACACCCCAGCTGCTGGCTTCTATCCCTTCCCTTCTAGTGACCTCAGGCTAGGAGAACATGTTCATTCCTGAGTGTGGTCTCTACAGTGAGTCTGTAGTAGACTAGCTCCCAGGTCCTTTCCCAGGAGGCATTCAAGAACACTTGTTTCCTGAGCACCCACTGGGGTCAAATGGCCTTTTAAACATTGGAGGAAATTGGTGCCCGTGCCATTTCCCTCAGAAGGTTTACATTTCAATGACTAGACAGTAAGCAATACATAAATAAACAAAAGTAGGTAAACAAACATACAAGATCATTACCAAGAGTGGTAAGTGCTATGAAGGAAATCAAATGAGGTGATGTGATAGGAGTGGTGGGACCTGCTGGGGCTATTTTTTGTTGCCTCTTTAATCTCTAGAAGAGTCTTCCTGCTTCCCCCCCTCCTCAACATTATTTTGAAATATTTCAAACATGCAGCAAAGTGTTTATAATTTTACAGTGAATATCCATATACCTACCACCTGGATTCTACCAGTAATGTTTTACTGCACTTGCTTTATTACATGCCCATCCATCCATCCATCCATCCATCAACCCACCTTATTTTGTATGTATTTCAAAGTAATTTGCAGACATCAGGACCATTGGTGGGGGTGCGCATGTAAATTGGAGGTGGGGAAGGAAGGTTTTTCTGAAGAGATTACGTTTGAATCTCTTCATACTTGTATGAAAAGAAGGAATCGGCCATGGAAGGGGAATAACTGCAAAGACCCAAGGACTGGAAGGAACTGGTGTGCTGAAGGGATAGAGAAGTCATTACTGAGGCCAAAGACGAGTGGTCAGAGCTGAGGTCAAGAGCTCATAGGGCCAGATATGTCAGATAGGCCCTGACTGGGCGCAGGCTTTTTGTTTCTCATCTCTGTATCTTGTGTATCTGTGTTTCTCTTATTCTTTTTTTCTCACCTTCTCCTTTTCCATCCCAGGCCTCCTCTCACCCTCTTTCCTCTTCACCTCCATTCTGTTCTGCTACTTACTGTGTGTGTGACTTTAGGTAAGTGTATACATCTCTGAGGCTCAATTTTCCTCTTCTGTAAAATGGAGATAGTAATGACACTTCCTCATCTGGCTGCTGTGAAGAGTGAATGGAGTGTTAGAACCATTCCTGGCATGAGTAGTGCTGAACATTTTTACTGTTGTTATAATTCTCCCACTTCTGTTTTCCTAGCCCCAGACCTCCATGCCCTGGCACGTAGCACCAGGAACCAGTGTGGGAGATGGAACCTGGAGACAGGTGTGTGTGTGTGTGTGTGTGTGTGTGTGTGTGTGTGTGTTGTGAGGGGGGGGCTAATGGTTGTGAGTGGGGTCAAAGTTCACTAGAGGAAGGCTCTGCCGAGGTGCCCTTGACTTGAGGAGCAGGGCAGGCTTCCTGTGATGACACGGAAAGGAAGAATTTAGAGAAGTCATTTGGAGGAGAACCTTGATACAGTGGTGTCCAAAATGGTAAGTACTTGGGCCTCCAGGGATCTGGGGGACTGCAAGAAGGCAGATTTTGAGGTGAAGCCTTTCTGGGTTTTGAGGCACAGTGACTATCTCAGAAAGAGGTGAAGAGTGGCTTGAGATACTGAGTGCGATTTCGGGGAGGGAACCCGGGCTCATTGAGTAGGAATTGGGCTAAGGGGTCTGAACGAGGAAGGAGCAATGAATCCTGTACTCTACTGAAGTCACAGGGAAGGGGGAAGGTTCTGCAGGGTCCAAGAGATAGAATAGGAACAGGGGGTAGGCGGTGTCCTCAGGAGGATAGGACTGGTGGGGAGTATGGGAAAGAATCTGGGGCAAATCAGGGATTCTGGAAACCAAGGAGTGCCTTGGAGGGGAGAATAGTCTGGGTCTAATGAGGGTAATAGGGAAAGTTTACAGTCTCCCATGGGGACAAGAGACATATTTGGGCCTCCCAGAACTTAGACATAGTCTGGGATCCCTATTGGGAGTCAGGGAATGGTTTGAGGTCCTAGAGGGTAGAAGGACATGTCTGGGGGTCCCCAAGGAGTAGGATATGGTTTGTGGTCCTGCGTGGCTATAGAACATGGGCTGGGTCCCCAAAGGGAGTAAAGCATGATCTGGGGTCTCCCTTTTGATATAGTGACATGATTTTGACATATGGCCTGGGATGCCTGAGGGATGGGGTGTAGTCTGGTGGGGGGGTCCACCTGAATGTTGGGGTATGATTTAGTGTCCTTGATGGGGATGGTTTGAATCCTCTTGGATGCTGGGATATATGGTCTGGGGTCCTTGATGAGGTGTGGGGCAGCGACTGAGGTCACCAGGGAGAGTAGGACATGGTCTGTGGTCCTGAGTGGCTGTGGAACATGTTCTGGATTCTCAAAGCAGGTAAGGCATGGTCTGGGGTCCTCCTGGGTATTGGGACATGATTCCAGGTCTCCGTTGGGAGATTTCGGGGTGCTAAGCCAGTCGGGGCGTGGTCTGGGGGTCTCTCGGGAAGCCGGCGGGGCTGGAGGTGGGGCTGGGGAGAGGTCGGGGGCACGCCGGCGGCTCCGCAGTGGAGAGGGGTCTGCGGAGGTCCGAGGCCCGTCGGAGCCCCCTCCCCCCTTGCGGCGTTGGTGGCGGCGGGGCTCGGGCGGCGGGCGGTGCGGAGGGCGGAGCTCGGCGGCGGCTCGGGAGGGAGGGCGGGAGGGAGGCGGCCCCGCGGCACCGCGCCCCCTCCCCCGGCCCTCCCCCCACCATGGCGCGGAGCGAGGTGGCGGCGGCGGGGCCAGGACCGGGCCCCCCCCGGGCTGGGTGAGCACGGCCCTCGGCGGCCTGGGAGCCGGCGGGCGGGGGCGCCAGTGTGAACGCGGGTGTGAGCGCGCGAGCCTGTGAGTGTGTGTCCGCGGCGCTGCGGCGGGCCGGGCGTGCGCTCGCGCGGCCCTGTGTGTGCCCGGCGCCGGCGTGTGCGGCGCCTGCTTGTGTGACCATCCGGGTGTGTGCTGGCTGTAGAGCAGAGGTGCTGGGACCGGCCGAGCGTGTGTGCCCCCGAGTGGCTTTCCCTCTGGCTGTGTTCTGGGGGGCTGTTGCGTGCCCATCGGAGGGGCTGTGTGCAGGTGTGTGTGCGTGGGTTGTGTGCCCAGGTATGGATCCCCCACCCCCAGCCAGTGTGTGCGCTCGGCTAGCTGTGTTAGGTGTTTGTGTCCGGGTTGGATGTCCATCCGAGGGTCAGTGTAGCCGGGTGTGCCCGCTCCGGCGTTCGCGCGCGTGTGTGTGTGTGTGTGTGTGTGTGTGTGTGTGTCTCTGAGGGTTGTGTGTCTCCGAGGGTGTGTGTCTGTGCGTCCACGTAAGGTTCCGGGCTGGGGGGCTGGGACTCAGAGCCTTGTGGGTCCAGGCCTCTGTGTGGGTTTGGGGGAAGGGAGTTTGCCGCTCCCTGGGTCCCTGTCAACTGGGTGGGGGGGCTCTCAGCGGTCCTTGGGGGAGTCGGCCATGTCTTCCCCTTCCCGGTGGCTGGGTGGGGGGGATGGGCGGTTGGTAGGTGGACAGATGGAGGGATGAGAGGCTGAGGGATGGACAGATGGGCCCGAGGGGAGGCACGCAGACCCGGCCCTTCCCCACCCACCCCACGCCAATCCCCACACCGGCCAGATCTCCACAGATAGGGCCAGAGTTGCATGCAACCAGATGGCCAGGCTGGGGGACCTTTGAGCTGCTGGTGAGAGGATTACCTTGGACTGGTGCTCTAGGACTCAGCTCCCTCAGCCCTCTGAGACTTGACCTGCTGAACTCTGACCTCTGGCTCTTGCTTGAGCTCTGGTAGTGGGGGCAGGTATGGTTGGAAGGAGGGAGGTTAGGATTTCTTTGGCCTGCGAAGTAGGTGGGGCAAGGGTGCCTCAGGGCTGGGAGAGATGTGTGTCCATGTATGTGTGTGAGTGTGAATCTGTGCCTATCTGTTGACATGTCACTGTGGTTCAATATTTTGGAAGCATTTTTAAGTGTGTAAATCCCTTACAGGGCTGTTGTGTGAGCATGTGTCTGTTATGAGTTAACATCTTGGAGTATCTCTGCAAAGGCAGATCTTTTTGTGCCTGTGTGCTTGTCTGACTGTGCATCAGCCTTGTCAGTGTCTGTGTATGTTTGTGGTTCTGTGTATGTGTGTAAGGTGTGTATCAGCTGGTGTGTGCATTTTGCATTTGTTGGTGTAGGATTATATTAGCTTTGTGACTGTGCATCATGAGGATATGTGAAGTTGTCTGAGTGTGTTTGGGCATTTAAGAGTGTGTACCCATATATCTTTGATTGTGCAAGTGAGTATCTGTTATATGTGTGTGCTCTTGTGTGTTGGTGAGTATACAAGGGTGTATCTGTTATAGGTGCATGTAATTGGTTGTCTGCAAGGGTAGGTACATGAGTTTTTTGTTTGTGTGCATCTTTGTGTGTGAATGTGCAAAGAAATGTCAATGTTATATATACAGTGTATATGCAGGTGTGTCAACCTTGAGGATAGGTTGTGACTGCATTTATGTGTCAGTGTTGGTCTCGCAGGAGTAGGGTTGTATCTGTTCAAACATGTATATGTGCAGGATTGTGAGCACACACATGCCTGTGTCCCTAGCACAAGGCTGAGCCTGCTTCTGGGCCCAATGAGTTGGGGTCCATGTGGCATGAACTGTGGCATGCTGGGGTCCATGGACACGTGTGCCACATCCCAGGCTAAGAGCCAGTGGAGTGTGGGGGGGAACAGAGATCATGCCGATGTATCCATGGAAATCCAGATGTAGAAACTTGGGTTGTGGGCTGATGTGAGTTTTGGCATGTCCACACATGTTGGCGTGGCAGTGATGTGATGGTGAGCATGGGAACCTCTTGATCCTTTCCCAGCTCCTGGTGCCACATAGGCTTTGAAGCTGGGAGATTGGGATGTGAACTCTGGAAGGAGGAGGCCGGGAGCCTAGAATCCTGAATCTGAAGGAGAAGGAGGGTGGGGCCCAGTTCTTGGGTTTTGAGAATGGAAGGCACTGAGACTTGGGCTCCTGAGTCTGAGGGATTCAAGAAGGTTGGTATCCCAGACTCTAGGGTTTTGAGGGGGGAGGGAGCTGGTGTCACTGGTCTTTTGAAACCCCAGAGGACAAATAGGTAAAGTCCTGGACTCTGGGATTTTGGAAAGTGAACAGTCCTGAGGCCAAGACTCCTTGGTTTCAAGAGATGGCTTTCGGGGCCATTTGAGAGTATGCAGAGTCAGAAGCAGGAGTGGCGAGAGTGTGATCACACCAGGGACTTCCTTGGCTGAAATGGCCTCTGAGGCAGGTCTCCCCAGGGGAACCAGAAGGATGTTAACAGGGTCATTTTGTTCCTTTGCAGGTACTGGCCCAGGCCCTGACTCCCTGAAGAGAGGTGAGTGGGGTGCCTCAGGCTGGGGAGAGAGATGCGGAGTGGTTGGGTTTGTTCTGAGCGCACCGGAGGCCGGGAGCCCTGCCTTGTAAGTGCAGGGTATGACAGTGTCTTGAGGGGCCTGGTGTCCCCAAGGCTGGGGGCGGAGTGGTGACAAGGTTAGCATCATCATGGTTGGGTGAGGGCTCATGGTAGAGCCAGGGCCTGGATGGCAGGCTGGGGAGGTCTCAGGCCCGGAGACATCCCCTCTCGGGAGGGGTTAGGTGGTCAGGAAAGAAGGGTTTCCTCAAGATATCTATAAAGGGTGTAAGGGAGCTTCATGACATGAAATGACCCATGCATTTGGAGAATGGCATGAATGTGGTTTGCCTTTTTGTGTGTGTATGTGCATGTACATGGGAAGATCTCCTGGTAGTTCAGCCTGCTGGTGGCTCAGAGAGAGCCAGACAAAAAAAATTACTACTACTACTACTACTACTACTACTACTACTGCTGCTGTTACTACTACTACTACTACTAGCAGCTGACACATGTACTGTTTACCCTGTCAGGAAGTACTCTAATCACGTTACACTGCATTATCTCATTTAATCTTTACAACTAAAGGATGAGGTAGGTACTCTTATCCCCATTTTACAGAGGAACACACTGAGGCACAGAGAAGGGAAGTCACTTGACTAGAGTCATGCAGCAAGGAATTGGGATGTGAACCTGGGCACTCAGGTCCAGATTCTATCCTGCAATGCTGCACTACCTCTCAATAAACGTTAGCTATTTTCATTTCTACTATCGTTCCTTCAACTTGAGTCCCACCCCAGCTGTGGGAGGTGGAGCTCTGTACTTCTGTACCATAGATTGGGGTTCTGAGCCCTAGATACCCCTCAGCCAGTCAGGTGTAGTGTGGGGCCTCCTAACTCAGGAGCTCCACCTTCCAGGCCAGGGTTTCCCATCCAATACAGTGTCCCAGAGGGAGTGCAAGACAAAGTAGTAGGGGGCCTCAGAAATGGTGGGGCACCCTGACCCTGCCTCTTTTTCTCTCTTCAGCCCAGGCACTGTCTCCCTCTGTCTCTCTTTCTTTGTCTTTGTCTCTCTCTATAACACTCTTTTCCCCTCTTCCTGTCTCTCTCTCTCACATTCTCTCTTCATTTTTATTTTTCAGTCTCTGTTTTCTGTCTCCACTCATTTTTCCATCTCTTGCTCCCTGTCTCTTCATCTTTCTTTCAGATTCTTTCTCCTTTTTTCTCTTTCTCTCTCTGCCTGTCTCTGTGTCTGCCAGTCCCTCTCTCCTTCCCTTTTGTCTTTCACTGTCTCTTCACCTCTCTCTCTGACTCTCTTGGTCCCTCCTTTCCACATGTACAGTCTCTCTCCCCACAGGCTGAAGGGTCAGGGCCACATAAGGTCACAGCCCTGACCTGCAGATTCCTGGGAGGTGGGCCAGCAAAGACTGGGGTGCAGGGTGAAGTGAAAACAGTCTCAGGGACGCCCCCTTCCTATCCTTTCCTCTTCACCCCCCACCCATCCCGTGTTGTGATGGGAGCTGACATGTCGTGGGCTGCAGCTGCCACGGGGGAATCCCCGCCGGAAGGTTTTGCCTGGAGCAGAGGCATAGCATCAGTATGTGAGTGAGTGTATGTATGTGTGTGTAGGCATGTATGGGACCTTGTGTGTGCCCATTGATGTGAGCACAGAAGTCCGCCCCTTGCTTGAGAGCTCAGAGAGCCAAGGAAGAAACCGGGCTTGGAGAAGGACTTCCCAAGACTGAGCAGCTAGACTGATGTGGTTTTCTCATCTCTCCCACCTCCAGACACCCTCTTCCTCTGATAAAGCAGGGGGGGATGTTATTCTTAACATTTATTGAATACTTACTGTGTGCCAGGCCCTGCGCTTAAGGGTCCCCATAAATGAGTTCACCGAACCCTTGCAACAACCCATGAAGATGATACAATCATCATCCCATTTTATGAAACAGGAAAGTATGGCCTAGTTAGGGGAAATCATTGGTTTGGGGTCGCAGAGCTATTGAGTGGGGGAACTGGGACTTGAACCCGAGTCTAATTTCAAAGCACTTGCTTTTAATAATAGCACATAATTCTATGCCTGGCATATGAGAGGCACTTGATGTGATGATAATAATTACTAACATGTATTGAACCCATTTTATGCGCTAGCCACTGTTCCTAAGTAGCACACCATGCTTATTCATTCATTTAACCCTCACAAAGGTAAGACTTGTGTTTTAATCTCTATTTTGCAGATGAAGAAACCGAGATTCAGAGAGATTCAGACACTTGCCCGAGCTCACACAGCTAGTAAGTGTCAGAGCTGGAATTTGAATCCAGGGAATATGGCTTTGAAATCCAGGAACTTAAATCCTAGTTTGCAGTGATTTTTCAAAATGTTTAGTGGGTCCTAGAAGGCCCTGGTAGGGCCACGCATCAGCACTGTGGTTGGAAGAATATGAGAGGACTTGGAGTCCCTTAGAGGAGGGGCAGAGATGGGGATAGGACACTCAGGGGTGGAAGAGGGGTAATTTACCAACTGGCATTAAAATGTTGTTATCTGTTAACAAGTGCATGCCAGCTGATGATCAGTGCTGTCGCTGTCCTAGAGCACCTGGTTGTCAGGAAGGGAGAGATTTGGGTCAGATTCTCAGCAGAATGTCCCAGGGCGGCCAGGCTGGCAAGCAAGCTCTATGCCTGGGTAACCTGTCTCCTTCTCTTTCAGGTTCAGGTCTTACTGTCCACTTCTTCCACCTTCCCACTGCACCATGGCTCCGGGCCCCTTCTCGACGCTGCTCTCACCACCGCCTGCTGCCCTCTCCTTTCTGTTGCTGCTGTGGGTTGGGGCATCTCGTGGTCAGCCCTGCCCTGGCCGCTGCATCTGCCAGAATGTGGCGCCCACACTGACCATGCTGTGCGCTAAGACTGGATTGCTCTTTGTGCCGCCAGCCATCGACCGGCGTGTGGTGGAGCTGCGGCTCACTGACAACTTCATCGCAGCCGTCCGCCGCCGAGACTTCGCCAACATGACCAGCCTGGTGCACCTCACCCTCTCCCGTAACACCATCGGCCAAGTGGCAGCCGGCGCCTTTGCTGACCTCCGTGCCCTCCGGGCCCTGCACCTGGACAGTAACCGCCTAGCCGAGGTGCGTGGTGACCAGCTCCGTGGCTTGGGCAACCTCCGCCACTTGATTCTCGGCAACAACCAAATCCGCCGGGTGGAATCGGCGGCCTTCGACGCCTTCTTGTCCACTGTGGAGGACCTGGATCTGTCCTACAACAACCTTGAGGCCCTGCCCTGGGAGGCCGTAGGCCAGATGGTGAACCTGAACACCCTCACTCTGGACCACAATCTCATCGACCACATCGCAGAAGGTACCTTTGTTCAGCTTCACAAACTGGTTCGCCTGGACATGACCTCCAACCGCCTCCATAAACTGCCCCCTGATGGGCTCTTCCTGAGGTCGCAAGGCCCTGGGCCCAAACCGCCCACGCCACTCACAGTCAGCTTTGGAGGCAACCCCCTGCATTGCAACTGCGAGCTGCTCTGGCTCCGGAGGCTGACCAGAGAGGATGACTTAGAGACCTGTGCCACCCCTGAGCACCTCACTGACCGCTACTTCTGGTCCATCCCTGAAGAGGAATTCCTGTGCGAGCCCCCACTGATCACACGGCAGGCGGGGGGCCGGGCTCTGGTGGTGGAGGGCCAGGCAGTCAGCCTGCGGTGCCGAGCCGTGGGTGACCCTGAGCCAGTGGTGCATTGGGTGGCACCTGATGGGCGGTTGCTGGGGAACTCGAGCCGGACCCGGGTCCGAGGGGATGGGACATTGGATGTAACCATCACCACCTTGCGTGACAGCGGCACCTTCACTTGCATCGCGTCCAATGCCGCTGGGGAAGCCACGGCACCTGTGGAGGTATGCGTGGTACCTCTGCCTCTCATGGCGCCTCCGCCGGCTGCCCCACCTCCTCTCACGGAGCCTGGCTCCTCTGACATCGCTACGCCCGGCAGACCTGGTGCCAACGAATCAGTTGCTGAGCGCCGGCTGGTGGCAGCGGAGCTCACGTCCAACTCTGTGCTCATCCGCTGGCCAGCGCAGAGGCCAGTCCCCGGCATCCGCATGTACCAAGTCCAGTACAACAGCTCTGCTGATGACTCCCTCGTCTACAGGTGGGTGTTTCAGTCCCAGGGCCTCCTCCTTCCCCAAGGGCCTTCCTTCCCTTCTCCCTACTTCCTTGGCTTTCTTGTTCAGCTGGGGTTCTAGATGGTTACGCAGAGTTGCCCTATCTCTCTGTCTCTATTTCTGTCTGTCTCTTTCTGCTTTTCATGCATGTTGCAAATCTTTGTTAGGTACCCACATGAGCCAGACTGGTTACTGGAGTTGAACAGTGAATGTGCCCAGCATGATCGCTACTCTCTTCAGACTCATGGTCCACATCCTTGCTCACCAAAGGTGTTTGATTGTGTATCTTGTCAGTTAAACATTTTGGAGCATGAAATACACACACACACACACATGTTTAACAGTTACGTTTATATTTATAAATTATATGCCAGTGCTACTGTATTAACACATTGGGTACATTATAGAACAAAGAACTAAAATATGTAACTATGTTATTTTCACTATCCATTGGGTTAGAAGCCATTGTCCCATTGTGGACAGACTTGTATGATATGGACAGACATTAAAAAGTTACTTTCTCCCATTATCTCTCTTATTCTCTTACTTTCCTGTCTGTCTGTCTGTCCCTTCTCTGCCTCCTGCCCTCATTAGGCCCTGAGCCCCTTCTCTGTGCTGGTCCCTGAGCACGGTGCTAGGGACACAGGGACACCAAATGACCAGTCTCTGCCCTCAGGAAACTCACAGCCCAGAGGAAGGAGGCAACGAGTATATGCTGAATTACTGCCTTGGCCTTGCAGTAGCTATTTAAGTATGTCTTACAGTCACAGTCCTGGCACACAGTGGGCACTTGATTAGTGGTTGTTGGCTTTGTGAATGGCTCTCTTTTCTCCTAGCTCTGTCTCCTTCATGCACATTGTAGAACACCTGCTGAATGCTTAGTCCTGTGTTCGACTTCACTTGGGAATGCCCCAGCTCTTGGGGGTGCTTAGACCTACACCTCAAAAGCTTGCCTCTTGGCCTCGATTTTCACCTTTCCCAGGGTTCTCTTGGCCACAATCCTGGTACACAGTAGGTGCTTTCCCATTGTTGGCAGAATGAGTAAATGCCTCTCATTTCCTTTGTCTGTCATCCTCATTTTCTTCTCTTTTAGAATCTGGTTACCAAACACTGAGTAGATGCCTACTGCATGCCAGATTCCATGCTGGACCCTGGGGCCACCGAGATAGATCAGACACTGGCTCAGTTTTGCAAACCTTAGGGCAAACAAATGAACAAATCAAAAACCTGTATATGGTACTGCCAAGGATGCTACCCCATTTGATCTTTTCAGCTCTGCTGTAAAGCGATGATGATTCGCCTCCCATTTTGTAGATTGGAAAACTGAATCACAGTGGAGGGAAGTCACTTGCTCAAGGTTACACAGAAAGTGGCAGAGCCAGGATTCCAGCTCTTACCCTTCTAACTCCTAATCCTGCCCTTTTAACCTGAACACACATTTACTGAGCAGCTACCGTTTGCCAAGCAGGGATTAGTGGAGATGGATAATACATTTCTGTAAATAACTCTTGGTTTGTGACTCTCCACTACTCTGTTTCCTTCTTTCTCTCTCTAACCTATGGCCACTACATGGTGTGGTGCAGGAAGGTTTGCAGGCCCCCAGACCCTGCATATTTTCAGATGTTGGTAGCCCTCTGTCCCTAGCTAGGCAACAGACCTGGGGGCTCTTCCCCTCCCCTGAAGGCCACAGTTCCCCCATTGCAGATGCCTGTGCTATGGTGCTGCAGGAGTTAATTTCCTCACTGCTGTCATGGGAGGAAGTAACATCCAACCAGAAGCCTGCTCTGCTGCTTACTTGGGTCTCGCAGCCAATTAGAGACATATGGACTCAAGCTTTCTTAAGGAGTCAGCCTCTTTTCTTGAAAAGTGGGGAGCCCCTAGCAACTGTTTTTTTAGGCGAAGGAACAAGAGGTATCCAAGTCTTTCTGAGAGGGGAAATGGGAGGAAAAGGAAGACATAGCCTAGGGCCCAAGGTTGGGAGGCAAGGGTGAGAGGTGGTCTGTTAAATGGCAGACCAAAGTAGAGCTGGAGAAGTGGGTGAGCCTTTTTGAAGGGGCAGGGCCCTCACTTGAAGTCTTTGGCTTTGAGAGTGGGTCTTGATGGTGGGGAACCTCCAGGAGGTGAGACAACTGAAGTGGGCTTTAGGACCAGAAGGTGGCCTGGAGGGAAGGTGAAACTTCTTAGAGATAAGAGGCCTATAGAGATGGGGGCATGGCCTCTCAGAGGAGGTAGAGCTCCTGCTTCATGGTCCCATGCAGATGAAGAGGTGGGCCTTGTCTTTGGTGACTCACTAAGACCTTTGTAGGAGAGGAGAGCTTGTGAGGCTCAGTGCTGGACGTGCAACTCCATGTGGATGTGGCACTCCTGGGTTAGCCAAGGCTGGACATGGCCAACGGTGTAGAAAGGGTATGCCCAACCGAAGGGGCAAGGCCTGGTGGGAATGGTCTCATAGATGGGGAAGGATGCAACTGGCTACATTTGACCCAATTATAGATGAGACTTAACTGGGGGTATGATTTGGTGACTTATATCTGTATAGGGCAGGATGCACAAAGAGCAGTTTCAGGACATGCAAAGAGTAGACATGGACCTAGGCACAGTAGGGGAACCATCCCCAGTGAGCCACTGTGAAATGTGGTACAGGTATATGTAGTGGAGGGGCTTGGGAATTGTCTAAGAAGATAGACGCAGCTAGGAGATGTGTTTACTTGAAGGTGAGACATGCAGATAAAGGGAGTGGCCTGTACCATGGTTTCCCTGAAAGGGCAGGAATTGGTAGAAAAGAGAAACTAGAGGCCCTGGCTGGCTAGCTCAGTTGTTTGGAGAGTTGTCCAGAGATGCCAGGGTTGCGGGTTTGATCCCCAGTCAGGGCTTATACAAGAATCAGCCAAAGAATGCACAAATAAAGAGGAACAACAAAAATCAATTTTCTCTGTCTCTCTTTCAAATCAAAAAATAAAAATTTTAAGAAAAGAACCAGGAGAGCATCCACGCATCCATTGCCCCACTAGGAGTAAAATAGGATGTGAGTTGACCTCAAAGTCCGTTTGAATGACGGGGGTCATGCCGGTAGGAGCAGTGGCCTGTAGTAATGGGGCCTCTTAAAGGAGGATGGCAGTTGTTGCCCTTCATGTGGTGAGACACTGCTAAGGGAGCATGTCCCTTGAGGGTAGGGCATAAAAGCTATAGCACTTATCTCCTGCAGGGACTAGGATATGTAGATGAGTGAACCTGAATGGCATATTGTCCTACTGGGAGACTAGACAGACCTGGGGTTTGAGGGCAGGGCATGCAGATGTGCGTGTGGCTTGTAGCAATGATCCTGAGAGGTTGGAAATTTGTTGCTAGAATGACTGTGTTGTCTCAGTAGAGGGTGAGAAACGGGTAGGGACACCTGGTTTGGTTCCCACTGGTCACCGGGGGTGGAGCATGCAAGTGAAATGGCGTGGTTCAGAGTGGAGCTAACCCCGTGCTGATCCCGCCCCTCCTGCAGGATGATTCCCTCCACCAGCCAGACCTTCCTGGTGAATGATCTGGCGGCAGGCCGAGCCTACGACCTGTGTGTGCTGGCAGTCTATGACGACGGGGCCACGGCGCTGCCAGCCACGCGAGTGGTGGGCTGCGTGCAGTTTACCACGGCTGGGGATCCGGCGCCTTGCCGCCCACTAAGGGCCCACTTCTTGGGCGGCACCATGATCATTGCCATCGGGGGTGTCATTGTCGCCTCAGTCCTCGTCTTCATCGTTCTGCTCATGATCCGCTACAAGGTCTACGGCGACGGAGATGGCCGCCGCGTCAAGGGCACCTCCAGGTCGCCCCCGCGGGTCAGCCACGTGTGCTCGCAGACCAACGGCACTGGCGCGCCCCAGGCCCCGCCCCCGCCGGCGCAAGACCGCTACGAGGCGCTACGTGAGGTCGCTACGCCTGCTGCAGCAGCGGCCGCGGAAGCAAAGGCCACGGCGGCCGAGATTACTTCCGGAGAGGCGGAGGCGGCCATTGGACGCTCCCTGGGCGGCTCTGCCACTTCGCTGTGTCTGCTGCCGTCGGAGGAAATCTCCAGGGAGGAGTCTCGGGCCGCAGTGGGTCCTCGGAGGAGCCGTTCTGGGGCCCTTGGGCCGCCAGCTTCGGTGCCTGCCACTCTAGCTCTGGTTCCTGGGGGGGCCCCGGCCCGTCCGAGGCCTCAGCAGCGCTATTCCTTCGACGGGGACTACGGAGCGCTCTTTCAGAGCCACAGTTACCCGCGCCGCGCCCGGCGGACAAAGCGCCACCGGTCCACACCGCACCTGGACGTGGCTGGAGGGGGCGCGGCCGGGGAGGACGGAGACCTGGGACTGGGCCCTGCCAGGGCACGCCTGGCCTTTACCAGCACCGAGTGGATGCTGGAGAGTACCGTGTGAGCGGCGGGCGGGCGCCGGGACGCCTGGGTACAGCAGACAAACGCCCAGCCGCCGGGACGCAGGGGCAGGACTTGGGGGAGAAAGCACAGCATCAAGACCTCTGACTGAATCGGAGACGGGCCCTTCTCCTCCTTGGAGGAGGCGCTGCTGCCTCGGGCTAAGGCTCGAGACCACGCCCCCTTCCCCTGGGCAGTTAGGGGGCAGACCGACAGGCTCTCCTCCAGGTACTCTTCGCCCACTCCTGCCCCTCCCCCCGCGCACTCGCGGACCTCGCTGGAGCCGGTGCCTTACACAGCGAAGCGCGGGGAGGGGCAGGGTCCCCCTAACACTGCAGCACTGAGACACGAGCCCCCTCCCCCTGCCCGGGACCCAGGGCAGGGGCGAGGGACCCATTTCTTGTATCTGGCTGGACTAGATCCTGTTCTGTCCTGCGGCGGCCTCCAAAGCCCCCACCCCCACCCCCTTCACTTCCCTGGTTCCATCGGGTCTGGCTTGGGGTCCCTTTTTCTCTGTTCCCTTCTTTTGTCACTGTACGCTCTGTCTTCTCTGTGTTATGTCTCTGTTCCTTCCTATTTGTCTCTATTTTCTCTGTCCTGTCTCTTTTTCTTCTGCCCTCCCGTATTTTGTCCAATTTCCCTGTCCCGATTACCTCCCCCAATTACACATTCTCCCGGGCAGGTCCCACTGGAAGGACCAGACTCTCCCTATTCCTTCCTCTTTCCCCAAATAAATACCCATATGCACAAAGTCCAAAACAAAGTCCTCCTCCATACCGGAGCCAGGACCCTCCGCCGCAGCAGAATTAAACTTTTTTCTGTGTCTGAGGCCGCTCTGCTGACGTCTGTGTGTGTGTCCTTGTGTTTTTTTTGGCGGGGGGGGGAGGTGGTGACTAAGATTACAGCATAGTGACTGATACTGAAGGAAGGTGGCAAACTGGGACCAGGGATACTTGGAGACAATTTCTTACCCTCTGAGAGACTTAGAGGTGGGAAATAATAATAAAATGATAATAGCTAACATTTAGTGAGTGCTTACTATGTGCCAAGGGCTTAAGTCATTTAATCCTCACAACAACCCTAGAACATATTACAGTTATCCCGCTTTACAGATGAGGAAATTGATACCGAGAAACGTGAAGTAACATGCCCAAGGTCGCATAATCAGAAGGTGTCAAAAGTGGGATTTGAAAAGGCAGGCAGCCTGACCTCTGAATCTGTCCTCTTAACCACAGAACTCTGCCGCTGAGCAGTCAGTGAATGCTCACTCCACACACCGGCGTTGTGCGAAGCCCAGCTCATCTCTCTGAGGTCGGGCAACTGTCCACGGTAGGTATCTTTGGTTCCATTTTACAGGCAGAAATCTGAACCAGGGAAAAGCGAATGAAGTCACTTGCCCGAAGATCCCCAGTGAAGAAACCGTGGAGCTGGCAGTTTGATCTCAGTGTCTATCTGTTCCTTACCACTATACTATGTTGCATCTGGAGGTTGGGGAATGGCCCCGAAGACCTCAGGCTGATCATGAGTACCCAAAGCCAGCCTGGGGAGGGAGGAGATGAGGGAACGAGCTCACTGGTTTCTCTGTCTGGAATAGGAGGGATCATAAGTGGAGGAGGGATTTGCTGGGGCACAGAGGATGGTGTGGGGAGCGGAGTTTCAGGTAAGGTAGTGACGGGAGAAGGAAAATTGACTGAGGGGTACCCCAACCCTTGTTGGGGGGCCCTGCAGTGAAAATGTCCTGATCCTGGAGAAGAAGGAAGAGGCTTCATGCCAGCCAGAGGCCCCCTAAGGCCTGGGGAGGAGGAGAGAAGGACAGAAATAGAAACAGAGCAGGAAGGAGGCGGATGATCTGGGCAAACAGGGTGGGAGGCAGCAAGGACAGAGGCACCAGAGAATCACAGGCCAAGAGGCTCCCTCACCCAGTGACCCAGCCGCACTTATCTGTCTCAGTCATCACGACTCCTGGGCACGGAGGGCTTCCCACACGCCAGGCACTGTGCTCGCAAACCCTCCCTGATGCATGAAAAGATGACATGCAACCCAGCACTGGGCACATAACGCTCACAAAATGAAGTTACTCAGCGTGAACGCATTTATACTCTGCAGCTGACACGTAGTGTGTGCACCCACCTTTTCTAGGTGAGGAAACAGTTCAGAGGTTAAGGAGCGTGCCCAAGATCATACAGCCGGTAAACGGCAGAGCCGTGGCTAGAAAGTTTATTGCCTCCAAATTCTGCACACCTAATCGTCTAACTATATTGTCTCTTGAGTCGCCTGATAGAGCTTTATTGAGCATGTTCTACGTAGTCCTGTGCAGGGGATACAGCCCTGAACAAAATAGACAAAACAGGGAACCCCTGCCTCTTGCGGGGAGACAGTAAACAAGCCAGTAAACGTGTAATGAATGTCTGGTGGTAAGTAAGTGTCATGAAATGAATGAAGGAATGAAAACAGGTTGATGGGACAGAATGACTGAGAGGCCTACTTTAGATTAGTGGTGGGGGTGGGTCAGAAAAGGTGATGTTGAAGCTGAAGAAATCCACTGGGGGAAGAACCCGGGAAAGGCATTCCTGGTAGTGGAAACAGCATGGGCAAAGGCCCTGAGACAGGACTGTGCTTGGTGCGTTGGAGGTAAGTGTGTCTGGACTGGAGTGAGGGGAGATTGGGAGGAGAGCAGGTGGGAGAGGCAAGCAGGGAGCAGATTCTGCAGAACCTCGTGGTCTGTGACCAAGGGTCAAGATTTTCTTCTCAGGCCTGTGGAAAGCCAATGAAGGGTTGTCAGCAGAGATTGCATATGGTCTGATTTCTGTGGAGACCCCAGCTTTGGAGTGGGGTGCACCTGCCTTCAAAACAAGATCGGGAACTGCCATCTCAGAACGTGACGCCCATCCATCGACATGTTTGGGGCACACATGGTCCCTGGCTTAGCCCTTTAGAGGACACCCACCACCTTCCTTCTCTTGTAACCCCAGGCCCTTCATTTAATAGAGAACCAATGCCAATGATATGCTCGTTCTTTCAAAATTAAAGCTCTAAACCCAAGGAACAGGTACACCAGTGAGAGAGGGCTGGTGTCTTCCAGGAGGAGTGTTTGAGCATCGGGTCTGTGCCTGGCACTGTAGATGCAGCACTGACCAAGAGGGACCCAGTCCCAGCCCTCCTGGGCAGACAGATGACAATTCAGCGGTGATGGGAGCAGAAAAGGAGGCTGCGTGAGCCCAGAGGAGCTGCCCGACCCTGCCTGCAGGTTCCGGGATGTGCATTAGTCAGAGTCTTTTGGTAGCAAGTGACAGAACATAACTTAATGGGAGAGGCATAAAAAGCAGGCGTTCGTTGCCTCATGTAGGTAGGAAGGAGACAATTTAGGGTAAAGCTACAAGGAACTTGGCCTTAGACACCGGACCTCAGACTCAGCCCCACCAAGACACTGTCCTACTCATTTGTGTTCGTCTCAGCTCATATTATCCGTTCAACTGCATGTGCTGGGGAGAATGGACATTTATTCGCAGATACAGATGCAATCCTTCCAGCACCATAGCCCAGTGGGAAAATGGCAAAATCTCCAGTCTAAATGAAGAAAAAAAAAAATCCCAGGGAAAAGCTCAGATTGGACTGATTGGGGTCACAGGTCCCCCTTGCACTGGTTGTAGCATCCAAGGGAAGGGAATGCTTTGATTGGCCAGGAAGGGGTTGGCTTAGCCCTTAGTATTCAGGTGTCTGGGTCGGGTGGCCTGGGAGAAGGGGTGGTTAAAAAAAGTTGTTTGAACCATATGAAATTGCCAGTTTTGTAGGTCAGAAAGAACAATATTGGCGATTTCGTATGGTCGATCCTAAAAACTCACCAACGAAGTCACATGGGAAAGCTTATTAGGCTTGTAAATTTCATAGAAATCCCAGTAGACCACTCTGAAGGGTGTTTGGAAGAGGGGGTGATATTAGCTGAGACATAGGGGATGAGTGGAAATCACCAGGTAAAGACATGGTAATGGTGGGGGGAGTAGCAGGGCATGTTTCAAGCAGAGGAAAGATCTTATGCAAAGGCCGTCACGAGGAAGGACCGGGGCAGGCTTGCCACCGTGACCTGGCCATGGAGTGTTCTGACTGCGCAAACCGGAGCCTGTGTCCAACCAAACGAAGGATTGGGAGAGCAGGAGAAATGGATGCTGGGCGGGAAAACCCAAAATATATGCAGTTCAGAATTTCTTTGTTAGGCCTTTACTTCTCCACTTGGAGGTCTGCAATCTCATTTCTATTACAGCACTTATGTTGAAGAGGGTCATTTGCCCAAACTCAGACATGTCCTATATGGGTCAAATTTTTGGGGGGTCACGTATTAACTGACCACCTTCCCTGGATTCTGTGCTGGGCATATGAAGATGGATTTGTGAGGATTCACCTGGCTGCAAATAGAAAATGCATGACTGAAGACATTTGGTTATCTTATTAAGAATTCTGGAGTTAGGGGTTTGGAGGTTTGGTGTAATGGCTTATTGACATCACCAAGGGCCCATTTCCTACCCTTCTGTTTTACCTTCCTGAGAAGGGCAGATTCAGATTTTAGGCTTGTTGCCTCATGGTCATAAAATGGCCACCAGAGCTCCGGGCCTCCCTCACATCCTCACACCAATGAACTAAGTAGGAAGGAAGGGAGCAAATGGAAGTTTTCTTTGTGTCAAGGAAGAAAAACTTTCTAAAATAATAAGAGTAACAGCAATGCACACATGTGAGGTTCAACCTATTTCAAAAATTGTTAAAATTTTTGCATACATTAACTCATTTAAGAAGCCCTTTAGTCCTATGACCTCTCCAAACTTCAAGGGAGTCTGGGGAAGCGGGTGTCAAAGGAGAAGGAAAAATTTATGCCCTGGGCTGGGCACCTTGCTGCCCCCATCCAAACGGGGGTTCTGATGTCACAAACCATATAATGCAGTGAGAGTGGCTGTGGGATTATATGTAATTTCTAGTGCGTGGCTGTGCTCCAACCTTTATCTCCTAATTGAGAAAATACAAGAATGCAAAGGAATGACAGGGATAGAATTATTGGAATGATTCTGAAACCCCTAGAATGCAAGAAAACGCAACTGTTCAGAAACTTTGGTGGGTTACTCTTGGCAATACATTTCTTGTGATACGCCTCATGAGGGATTGTGATGGGCTGGTGGCTGTCACACTTTTGCAATTATCTATTACCTCATAAACCCAAACCAAGTGGCGTGAAACAAAAATTACTTTATTATGCTCCCAGATTCTGTGGGTCAGGAGCTTGATCGTGGTGCAGTAGAGATGGCTGAAATCATCTGGACACTTCTTCACTCATGTGTTCAGTTACTGAGCCGGGAGGACTGCAAAGCTGAGTTCAGCTGTGATTGTCAACCAGAGTGTGTTCACGTGGGCTCTCTATGTGGTCTGGGTTTCTTGCGGCATGTAGGTTGAGTTCCAAGTTGGACAGTCTGAGAATGCGTGTTCTGAGAGTGCAAGGTGGACTTGATGTTGGAAGTCACACGACTTAACCTCCATTGCACTCTATTGAATGAAGATGTCACAGGTTCAGGTTCAATGAGAGGAGAACATTGACTCTACGTCTTGAAGGAAGGAATGTCAAAGACTTGGTGGCCAGTTTTCAAAAACCACAACACATACCATGCATGAGCTGGCGATGCCAGCAAGCTATTTAACAACTACCCCGTCGTTAGAATGCACACTGGCCGCGCATTGGAGCAGATCATGGAACACCTCCCCCACCCCCGTATCAGGTAATGATTCTCTCACTTCTGAATCATGGGGAGTGTAGGGGTTTCCAGAGAAGGGTGGATTTGCTTAGGGGGATTGGGGAAATAGCTATTTGACAACTGTTGTGAAAGTATTTCTGTATTTTAACAACAGAAACAGTTCTCGAGTTGGAGGCCCACTGGATTCACTCCCACAGGAGATTCATAAACTTGGAACCTCCATTTGCCATTTTTGGATGCTTCCTAGGCCCATCTCTCACCTTTTCCCTGCTGATAGAACTCTAAATTTGTTTTGGTATTCACTCTCCCTGGGACATATTTCCCTTAGCCTGAGAGGGAGATTTGATTAGTCTAACATCCTCTTTGTAATTACCTCTTCCTTGCCATGATTGGGTTAGGCTTGGGCATATGGCTAAGTTATAGCCAATGAGACAAGCACATACACCCAAGAGGGAGTTTCTCTGAAATGTTTGCCTCTAAGAACTGTGGAAGAATCAAGGCCCCAAACTTTGTGAAGCAGAAGCCAGCTGTGCACACTGGGCCTTGCCCAAATTCGTGACTGACAAAATCAGAGGGCATAAAAGATGGTTATTGTTTTACTCCACTGTTTGGGGTATTTTGTTATGACTTGGAGGATTTTTTGAAGTATATATTTTATTGATTATGCTATTACTGTTGTCCCATTTTTCCTCCCCTTTCTTCCCTCTACCTTGCAGCACCCCTCCCCGCAGCATCTCCCACCTTCTGTCATGTCCATGGGTCGTACATATAAGTTCTTTGGCTCCTCCATTTCCTATACTATTCTTAACCCTTAACGCCTGCCTATTTTGTACCTACTATTTATGCTGCTTATTCCCTGTCCCTTTACCCTCCTTCTTCCCCCTCCCTTTTCCCTTGATCTCCATATCTATGATTCTAGTTGTTTGCTTAGTTTGCTTTCGTTTTTGTTTTTTAGGTTCAGTTGTTGATAGTCGTGAGTTTGTTGTCAATTTACTGTTCATAGTTTTTGATCTTCTTTTTCTTAGATAAGTTTTATACGATAAGGGCTTGGTGATGACGAACTCCTTCAACTTGACCTATCTGGGAAGCTCTTTATCTGCCCTTCCATTCTAAATGACAACTTTGCTGGAGAGAGTAATCTTGGATGTAGGTCCTTGTCTTTCTTGACTTTGAAAACTTCTTGCCAGCCCCTTCTTGCCTGCAAGGGTTCTTTGGAGAAATCAGCTGATGGTCTTATGGGCACTCCTCTGTAGGTAACTGTCTTTTCTCTTGCTGCTTTTAAGATTCTCTCCTTATCTTTAATCTTGAGTAACTTACTTATGATGTGCCTTGGTGTGTGCTTCCTGGGGTCCAACTTCTTTGGGACTCTGAGCTTCCTGGATCTCCTGGGAATCCATTTCTTTGGCCAGATTGGGGAAGTTCTCCTTCATTATTTGTTCAAGTAAGTATTCAATTTTTCGCTCTTCCTCTTCTCCTTCTGGCACCCCTATGATTCGGATGTTGGAAGGTTTAAAGTTGTCCCGGAGGTTCCTAAGCCTCTCCTCAGTTTTTTGAATTCTCGTTTCTTCATTCTGTTCTGGTTGAATGTTTATCCTTTCCTTCTGCTCCAAATCGTTGATTTGAGTCCCAGTTTCCTTCCCTTTACTGTTGGTTCCCTGTATATTTTTACTTGTTTTACTTTGCATAGCCTTTACTTTTTCCTCCATTTTGCAACCACACTTAATCAATTCAGTGAGCATCCAGACTACCAGTGTTTTAACTGTGTGCATCTGATAGGTTGGCTATCTTGTTCATTTCTTAGTTCTATTTTGGTGTTTTGATCTATTCTTTCATTTGGGCCGTATTTCTTTGTCTCAGCATGCCCGTTACATTGGGAGGGGCAGAGCCTTAGGTATTGGCCAGGGCAGGGCTACCCAGATCACTGCCTTGAGACACTGTGTGGGTGTGAGGGGTCCGAGGGGAAACAATGCCTCTTGCTCTGCTCTCAGCCAGCTTTCAGTCACTTCCCCTGCTATCCACAAGCAAATTGGGCCCTTCTGGTGCTTATTCCCAGGTGGGTGGGTTTGTGTAGATTCTAGGACCCCGTGGGTCTCCAATGGAGTCTTTGGTGAGGCTGGGAGTTTCTTCTGCCTCCACAACCCCCACAGGTTTTTACTTCCAGAGGTTTTGAGGCTTTATTTTCCCTCATTGGAACCCCAGACTGCACGGCCTATCTCACTCCCTAGGTGTTCCTCACTGTTTATCTTCATGCAAATATGAGACCGATCAGTTGTCCTGCCACCACCTTGGTGCGCGTTCTCTCTGCTTTGGCTGCCTGTCTCCGCCTCTGGTACTGGTCTGGATGTTTCTTCTTTAGCTCCTTGGTTGTCAGACTTACAGTTCTACTTTCTGGTAGTTCTGGTTATTTTTTGTTTTTAAATTTGTTGTCCTTCATTTGATTGTGCAAGGAGGCAATGTATATATATCTACATCTCCATCTTGGCCGGACGTAGAGGGAGGATGTTGTTTACTTGTGGCAGCTGGAGCTGTGGCTGCCATCTTAAGACCATGAGGTAACCAAAATAAGAATCAGTCAACAGAAATGAAAAGAACCTGGTGTCCCAATGACATTATTGAGTGAATGAATGAAGGAGTCTTAGAACTTCCCTGCCACTCGCATTTTATGTGACAGTAAACTCATTTTTGTTCTACTTAATTGAGTTTGGTTTTTGATTCTTATTATAGGATAAAACATCCTGATTGGTATAGTCCTTTATCTGTATCTGTCCTAGGTACATAGACAAAAGAGAGATATTCAGTTCACGATCAGGAAGAGACAGAGAGACATATAAAGCCATGCATATATACACACACTTTTGCACACACGTGGGCATAAATACGCCATTATGCACCTTCAGTTAGACTCAGGTCCAAGTAGACACCCACTTCGATACATATGCACACAGTCCCACAAGTCCAACACACACAAATATACGCAACCAGTCACTAATTGTGCCTGCACCACACAGACATCTGCACTCAGCACAAGCACACAGTCACACACATACACTGAAGGATTCACTAATCACAGAAGTTCCAATTCCTTATTGTTTACTTGAACATATTGTATAAAAGTAGAAAAACAAATATTTCTTTTGAACCCATGTCAGGGCTACATCTCCATAAAATAACGGATGAATGGAAATAACTTAAGGCAGGCGTGGGGCTTAGTGCACAAATAAGCCTTGGGCTCCCAGATGAGCTGGGGGTGGGTCCAGGTTCTCAGACACACAGATCTCCCCTGGCGACACAATTCAGGTCCTGTTTGAGGAGGCGGAAGAGGTTGAATGTGACAGTGGCTTCAAGGCAGTCTCGAGACACCTGTGAGAGGGATGAAAACATTGCCCAGGCATCAGCCCCTTCCCTTACCCAGATCCCAGGCATCTGTCCTCCCCTCCAATAACTTACCCTCTTTGGGACCCTCTGGAGCTGGTTAAGCCAGGGCTGGAGGAGGCCATGGGGCCTGGAGCCTGAGGTGGGCAGAGCTGAAACCTGTGGGCAGAGGAGGGTGTTATGTGACCAGGGCTTGGAACAGTTGGAGACATATGCCACAGACATGGCCTCGGTGCCCTGAGACTCACACAGGCCTGGACCTCAGAGTGGATGTAGTGCAGCATGTGAAGGGGCTGGTTCAGCATGTCCTCCAGGGATGAGTCAGCCACAGACTCCAGGACCTTCAGTGTTAAGGCCAACTCAGCCTCCAAGGCCACAGGGCGCTCCGATACCTGGAGTGAGAAAGTACAGATGAGGGGGCAGGTAAGGTGGAAAGGTGAGACAGATAAGGAAGAAGGCCCAGGTAGGGAGTACAGGGAAGGAGGGCAAGTGATAAAGACACATGTGATGGGGACAGGAGATGGGTCAGGTGAGAGGGAACACATAAAGAAGGATACAAATGAAAGAATACAGGTGGGGCACAAAGATAGGGGAGGAGACAGGTTATAGGGCAGGTGAAAAAGTGAAATGGGGAGAAATGAAAGGTGACCCATGGGGGTCACAGAGATTTGAGGGATAAGGATGGGGACAGATTAGAAGAGAACAGGTTAGGGAGGCAAGTGAGAGGGGGACAATTAGATACATAGGCAAGAAGGGTAGATGAAGGAGGAGTGTAGGTTAGAAATAGATCGGTGGAAGAAAGATCATGAGAGAGATAGGTGGGAGGCAGTGGTGAAGAGAACAGGTGGGAGGTGAATAGGGAACCACTACTGAGAGCAGACAGTGACAAACTGGGCAGGGCAAGGGGCAAATACCTGGGAGAGAAAAGAAGGTAGAAATGAGAAGAGACTAGGTAAGAGTGGAGGTGTGAGGAACAGACAAAAAGATGATAAAAGGGACCCTGGGAAGGAACAGAATCAAGGGAACACTTGAGGGAGGACAGGTGAGGAGAGACAAGAGAGAGGGAAAAACAGATGAGATAAGGGAGGTGAGGGGCCACTTAAGGAAACAGGGAGAGGGGCCAGGAGAGGGTAAGAGGGCCTCAGTTCCAACTCACTTGCAGCTGTGTCAGCGTCCAGGGTCTGGGAAATAGGCAGGAGCTGCAGCTCTGGTTTTTCAGTGAATTTTCCTAGAGAACAAGAGCGGAGGTTAGACCACAACATAGGAGGAGGCTAGACCATAGTGGCACAGATGAAGTTCTAGCAGGAGAACTTGAGTTTAATCCACAGCAGAAAGGATAGCGATTAGTCATAGCTGAAAAGCTAGAGACTACACCACAGCAGGGGGACAGAGGTTAGCCCACAGTAGCAGGGCAGCAGCTTGGCCTAAGCAGGAGGGGTAGAGGCTACAACATCAGTGCTCACAGGTCAAAGGTCGTGGCAGCGCAGGAAGATGCTGAACTTTTCCCCTCCTAGGAGCACATTGAAATATACACGTATATATAGAGCAATTACTCCTGAGACACAACTGATGGCTGACTAAACAGCTTCTGAACAACAAAGTAACAAAAGAGGCTGGATAGGGAAGGCTGGGGAACTACTGAGCTCTCTGGGAGCTGTGGGAACTCTCTGGGATTGGAGGTGCCAGTGAGTGCCATTCATTATATTCTCTCCATCTTGATAGGGCAGGTGGGAGCTCCATTGGATACTCTGGCCTACCTGCAAGGTCACTGCAACATGTTCCCAACAACACTGTGTGGAACCTATTTCTCTGAACTAAGGAAGCAAGCAGGAACTACAGGGCATTACTACATGCATCTGGTCCTCGCCTGAAGTAGGTCTCTGTTAGTAGGCTAGCACCCTGGATGCCATAGGCATCTTGGATCCAACTCTCCTGCCTAAACCACCCAGCAGAGACAGCCTATACTGAGGTCTCTTTTACACATTTTTTCAAGACAGGGAGAATAATTATTTTGTTTAATTCATATAAACATAGAAATGAGAACAAAATGAAAAGACAGAAGAATATCTTTCAAATAAAGGAACAAGAAGAATAACCACTCAAAAAAAATGAAAAAGGAAAAGTAATTTGCCTGATGAAAAATTGAAAGAAATTGTCATAAGGATGCTCACCAATTTGAGAATGGAGTAAAGGAATTTAGGGAGAGCTTCAAGAAAGAGTAAGAAAATATAACAAAGAACCAAAAATAGCTGAAGGATACCATAACCAAAATGGAACATATGCTAGAAAAAATCAACAGCAGATTAGCTAATGCAGAATAATGGACTAGTGACTTGGCAGATCAGACTACTGGAAATCAACAAATCAGAAAAGTAAGAAGAAAAAAGATTTAAAAAGTAATAAAAAGAGTTTGACCTCTGGGAAAACATCAAGCTCACAATCATTGAAATTATAGGGATTCCAAAAGGACAAGAAAGAGAGAAAGGAACAAACTTTATAGAAATAATGGCTGAAAGTTTTTCTAACCTGGAAAAGAAAACAGACATTCAGGTCCAGGACACAGAGGATTACAGACATGATGAACCCACAGATACCCAAACCAAGACATACTGTAATTAAAATGGCAAAGATAAAGATAAATAGACATTTTTTGAGGGGAGCAAGAGGAAAACATCTAGTTACATACAAAGACACCACCATAAGGCTATCAGCTGATTCCTCAACAGCATCTTTATCAGCTAGAAGGGAATGGTAAGGCATCTTCCAAGTGCTGAAAGAAACCTACAACTTCAAATAATTTACCTGGCAAAGCTATAATACAGAATTGAAGAAGAGATAAAGAGTTTCCTGAATAAGCAAAAACTAGAAGAGTTAATCACTATTAAGCCAGTTTTACAAGAAATGTTAGAGTCTCATTTAAGCAGAAAAAAAGGCCATAACCAGAAATAGGAAAATATGAGGAAGAATAATACCTCACATTTAAAGCCAAATATTTAATAAATACAGTGAATTGTAGATTTAAAAAGCTGCTATGATGGTAAAAAGACCAAAGTACAAAACTCAACTCAGACTGGGAGGTCGGCTGGCGCTAGCACCTTTCGGGTTTTGGGATAATGGATGTATTGGCATTCAAACCAACCAAAAATTTCCCCCAAACCAACCATCAGTTCATCATTAATTAGAGAGAGAGGAAAGGGGAGAGAGAGAGAGAAAGAAACATGGATAGGTTGCCTCCTGTACTTGCCCTGATCTGGGATTGAACATGCAGCCTAGGTTCTAAATGGCTTCTAAGAAGTTGGGTGCAGATTTTCATGGTCGGGCATCAGGTATGCCAGTAATGTCCTAGGCCTTTACTACTCACTACTCACTCATTGACTCACCCAGAGCAACTTCCAGTCCCACAAGCTCCATTCATGGGACTTTGAGTAACCCTGATGATGTCCCATTTAAGATAGGAGACAAATTCAAAACACCAGCTAAAGTCAGTCTACCTATTAGCTTCTCCTTGCCTGATTGTTTACAGATTGTCAGAGAAGTACAGTATGACTTCTCCTTGGAAAAGAAAACCATTGAGTGAGCCAAAGATATTAAGAAAATCCAAGAGGCCCAGCAGGAAGCAGAGCACATGGCTGAGAAAGCAGAAGATAAAGTGAATTCTAAGAGTGGGCCAGAAGGGGATTGCAAACCGAGCTTCTCCAAGACTCACAGTACAGCCACAATGCCACTTCCTATTAACCCCATCCTTGCCACCTTACAGCACAACAACATCCTTATCCCAACTCAGGTCAGCAGCAGTGCCACAAAACAGAAAGTTCTCAGCCCATCCCAAGCAAAGGCAGATTTCAATCCTGCTGACTTTGAGTGTGAAGATCCACTTGATAATCTCAAATTAAAAACTATTGATGAGAAGAAATACCTGAGAAACATTCTGGTCAGAACCACTGGACCCATTAGGGCTCAGTTATTGGATAATCACTTACTCAGAGGAGGCTTTAGGTCTGTGTTATAGGATGAGGAGGTCCTGGCATCCCTGGAGTGGGCAATGCTATATTTCAAGCCTTTTCAAAAACCCAATTGCTTTATACCCTTACCACAGTGGAGCAACTGTGAAAAGATGTTGCTGTCTTCCAAAGCATCCCCCTCCACCATTCCCACAGTAAACAATATCAAATCCCTGTCCTTCCCCAAACTTGACTCAGATGACAGCAATCAGAAGGCAGCCAAGTTGGCAAGCACTTTCCATAGCATATCCTGCCTCCACAGTGGCATGTTCCAGAATTCCCTAAAGCCTTCCACCAAAAGCAGTGTCAGAGAGCTCAGTGGGCATTATACTCTTCCACTTTCAGCTTTGAACTTGGACAGAGGCACAGAAGTGCCAACCCTGGCCTCTTCTGATATGATCTCCCAGATGTCTTCCTTCTCTGTCTTGTCTGTGTTCACAGAAGAATCATCACCTCCAAATACAGGTCCTATGGTCACACTTCCTAATTTCTCAATGTCACAAGTGCCCAACACTCCCAGCTGTCCCCAGGCTTATTCTGAACTGCAGATGCTGCCCCACAGTGAGCAGCAGTGTGTGGAGACAGTGGTCAACATGGTCTACTCATATGAGTGTGTCCTGAGAGCCATGAAGAAAAAAGGAGAATATTGAGAAGATTCTCAACTATCTCTTTGTACATGGACAGTCTGTGAGAAGTGCTTCAATCCTCTTTTAATGGAAAAGGCTCTGGAAATGCACCAGTGTTTGGAGGAAAAGATGATGGAGTTTCTTCAGTTAATGAACAAATTTAAGGAAATGGGGTTTGAACTGAAGGACATTAAGGAAGTTCTGCTATTACACAACAATGACCAGGAAAATGCTGTAGAAGACCTCATGGCTCAGGCTGGAGCCAGCTGAGACCAGGACCTGCTGAAGCCCTGACACCCCTGCAGGAGGCCCTGAGGAGTCCACCTGTAGGGAAGGAAAAGGGAAGCACTTCCAGATTTTCTTTTGAGGGTGGAAGGTCAAGTGCAGAGATTGTGCTTGCCAGTGTCTATGAGCCTAGGCTCTGAGCTGGGGAAAAAGTGGGGAAAATTTGGACATATGAATGCCCTCAGAACTGTCCTGGCTTCTTCCATATTAAATGTATTTGTATTTTGAGAAGTGTCCTTCCTTTCCACCTTGGCCCTCCAGAGAGACTTCTCTGGTTTTTCTTGGGTCTGTATGTCCTCAGCTGAAACCTGGCCTGGCTGCCAAGAGGAGTCAGGGAGAAGGGGTGGGAAGGCCATACTCAGTGCTGCTCTGGGGCTAGATGCCTCCCTCTCTTGCACTGGTGGACTGAACTCTAATCCAGTTTGAGTGCAATTGAAAGGTTATTCCAGGTGCCCCCCCAACCCCTTTAACAGTCCCTTAGTGTTACACTGGTTCTGCAATGTCTCTGAGGTGCAAAGAATGCCCTTTCCCCCATGGGGCCCTGAACTTGCCTTTTCTACCAGGCAGTTACCATGCTTCCCTTACCTAGCCTGTTTCTTTTGGCCTAGTTTGGAAAATCCTCTGCTATCAGGATTTAGAGACCCCCTGCTCTAGGAAACAGTTGTCACATTTAAGAAATCATTGACCCCTTCCCAGAATATCAAGTTGGGGAGAATCAGGCCATGATTTAGTTGTCCAACACTAACTCCACCTCAGTTCTCTTTGGAGAACAGCCTCTCCTGCCAGCCCCCTGCTCTAGGATGACATAATGAATAACACCTAGTCATAGAAATCTGTCTCTTTAGTTTGTTTTATATTATGCTGTACATCATTAAAGATCTAAATACAAAGGAAATACAGTCTTGATGAATCTAAAGTAATTTGCTAACTATATTTATTCTTCAGAGACAACTACTAATAAAAAATCTAAAAGGTAAAAAAATAATAATTAGGAGATACACAAACAGATCTAAAATATGACATCAGCCCTGGCTGATGTGGCTCAGTGGATTGAGTGCCGGACTGCAAAGCAAGTGGTTGCTGGTTTGATTCCCAGTCAAGGCACATGCCTGGGTTGCAGGTCAGGTCCCCAGTGGGAGGTGTGCGAGAGACAACCACACATAGGTGTTTCTTTCTCCCTTCCCCTCTCTTTAAAAATAAAATATGACATCAAAAACATAAAGCATGGAGGAGTGAATAAAAATGTAATCCTTTTAGAACATATTCAAACTTAGATACCTATGGACTTAATATAGACTGATATAGCCCTAGCCTGT